TGGATGGATGGATGGATGGATGGATGGATGGATGGATGCGTGACTGTGTGACTGATGACTATTTATGGCTAAAATGTTACGTACTCTGGTCCCTCATGCTGGCAACCGTCTCGAGCAGTAGGTACGGACAGACAGCGTCGCCACCATAGCCCATTAAAAGACATATATGATGTACTTCTCTGAGAAAAATAAAATTAAAAAATGAAAATGGGCAGAAGAAAATGATACCAAGGGAAAAGATTTCGTGCCTGAAAAATTATGGTACACGGCACGGTCACGTTAGACATCGATGACACACATGTTCAACCAATCACATCAAGCGAGCTCACTGCTTATCCATTCAAAATGCTGGAACATGACACCGACACAGTTACGGCATGGCACTCCGTACCGTAAGGTTTGTTACTGTACAGTCATATGAAATTTGCTCTAAATGGAGCTTCATCACAAAGCGCCATGTTTATTTCCATGAAACTTAAAACTTTTGTTTAACCCTGCGTAACCTCTTCCTGAAGGGCTTGCAGCGCACGCGGGGAAAAATCTATTGTTCAATTCAACATGGCTGCCACGTGAAAAAAGGTCCATGTTCAGGCTTCTTGTTTTGAAGCAAAAAATGTGCGTGCTTTCGTAAATAAGAAAATGACTTGTCTATTTTACCTGATTTCCGCGGATTCGATAAGAATCCCAATCTTTCTTCTTTGTTTGGTTCTGATGAGGTGATGATGAATACTTCCCAGAGCCATAAGACAACTGCGCAAAAAACGATAAAGGAACGAATAAAATATTACGACCTGAGGATTTGGAAAATAAAACATGCGCGCGCAGTGGGTAAGACAGTATCTAATCTCGCCCACAGAGCCCGCGTTACTCTTGATCAGCACCGAGGAACGGAGGTCATTTATCGTTTCTGATATCTCGTTTTTAATTGGGCAAATTTGAGTTCCGTCCATTCACGCATGAGCAGTTTTACATATTACAGCAGCCAATCAAAAAGATGATTATACCAGAGCCTCGTTCCTCGGTGCTGACTAAGAGCAACGCAGGCTCTGGGGATACGATTGGTCGGTATGTCGTCAATATCGCGCATGCGCGGAAATAGGGCTCTAGGACCAAGACAATCTCGTACCCAGAGCCCTTATTTCTTACTGCGCATGCTCGACGAAATAATTGGGCTCTGGAAAACTCCAAACCGGAAGACCCAGATTCTGGGTTTCTCGCACATGCGCATTATGACAGACTAGGTAAATTCAAAATGGCGGACGATGTTCAACGAGCATGTGAATTTGCGCTTGGAAAATTAGGTTTTGAAGATGGTTTTCAGTTAAATTAACTCCAAAAATATCTATTGGATGGACATCAATACAATTTCCATTACAAAACCGGCAAAACTTTGAAAAATCCTGCCCTACAGGCTTTTTCGGTGTACTTAATTCGAGACGCCATCTTGTTTATTTTCTCTAGTACTGTAATTTTTACTTCCGGTATCTTCCTTTGTTCTCGAGAACCAATCACAGCAYAGGAAATATTGGAGTTTTCCAGAGCCCAATTATTTCGTCGAGCATGCGCAGTAAGAAATAAGGGCTCTGGGTACGAGATTGGGACCAAGAGTTCTCTGACGCTGCGTTCTTCCGTCTATAAACATGAAATATAAGTATAATAATCAAATTGGCTTCCGGGAGACATTATTGGCTGCTGACCACCAAAGTGGTACTCTGGATCAGGAAGCAAGATTCTAATGGCTGATTGTATTGAGCGTTTTCATTGGTTAATAAATTTAGATTATTTCGCTACCTGACAGGGACGTTTTTTAATCCAGCTTTGCGGTCGCTAAGAATGATAAACGCACAGCCTTCTTCTACAGCTTTCGAGGCCTAAAAGAGGGGGGGAAATGTAAAGAACTCGTAAGTGATCGGTTCCAAATCGGTAACCTTCGTGTTTTTATCGGAAAGTGTTCGGTTAATTTTCGGGGTTTTTATTCATTAGGCTAGGGGGCTTGCGAGCCTTAAGTTAACCAAGATTAAGTAAGTCTTACCTCGGCGCAAAGTCTATCGAGTGCGGGAACAAGGCCATCGATACCATCTTCTACTGGATAAACAATATCAAGGGTTTTGGTCTAAAAAACCGAAATATAGAATAAATATAAACAGTGAGTGATTTTGTTATTCTTTTGACCAATCATCTTTCACTTCACCAGTCTCCCTCACTCTCACCAGTCTCCCTCACTCTCACCAGTCTCCCTCACTCTCCCCAGTCTCGTAAGGAGCACTGACCTTCCACTGCGGAAGAGGACACTCCCGGATGATCTCTAAGTCTGCGCATGACAGTATTGGATGGTCTAGGTATAACCGCTGACAATTCTTCTCGTCTGGTTTGAGGAAGTTGTGCTCAGGACCAACTGGGCACGCCTACAAGAGAAAAAAATAGTGTTTAAATATATCTGGGTTTTCATTAAGTTTTGAAATAATAGGAGAAGATCATGAACTGCCGGAGCGTCCTGGGGACTTTTTAAGCCAGAGAATTTTGCTTTGCAGGTAACGGAGCATTCCCCGATCCCAGACCCCCAATGAAAACCCTGAAATAATTCTCAGAGTCGGAATGTGAACCAACCAACTCAGCTTACGCGGGGCGGCTGGGGATCGAACTAGAGATTAGAGATGAGCGTTTGTCCACCACGCGCCATCACGGCTCCCTAGCTTTTGTGTGTGTGTATTGGGGGAGGGGGAGAGGGGGGGTCAGTGTCTAACTCACCAGTGACATGACGATAGCTTCACGTATAGGGTCAATAGGTGGATTTGTGACCTGAGAAAGAAAAATTAAAACGGACGTTGATATTACCATATCGACATGTAATTCGTACGGGAAGGTACGGTACGAAAATGCCGTGTCGTGGCCGTGTCTGAGCATTGTTATTGGATAAGGAGTCATGCCCTGTGATTAGTTCAAAGAATGACCACGATTTGACACTATGAACGCGGAGCAAATTACGTGATTGAATAATCTCACGTTAGGAACGTCTTATGCTGTGACCGTCACGGCACCTTTCGTAAGCATTCTGATTGGGCGATAAGTAGAATCACGCGCTTCAATTGGTCGAACGGATATCATAAATTCGGCACTGTGAACCTGGACTTTGCAACTATAAGACATGGTTTGAAAGATAGAAAACAGCGTCTATGAAACGTGCCTTTTGACTGGATCAAGCCTACCTGAGCAAAGAGCTGCTTAAAGTAGTCGAACACCATCTGGGGATGAGTGCTGAGGCACGCCAACGGTGCGTCGTTCCCCATCGAACCAAGTGCTTCTTTCCTGGAAAGAACAAATTGATGGATTTAGCATTCCCAAGAGAGTCAAAAGACAAAAGCAATGGCAGCCATTGTGGTGCCGTTAACAATGGATGTTAATAATAAATCTTTTGTTAAATGGCACCAACGCCGGGGGAAGAAGGTAAGGAAGGATTACCTATTGATGATCATAGGAACGATCAACATGGTAAGGTCTTCTACAGAATAACCAAACAATGGCAGACGTCGATCTTCTTCGAGACAGCTGACCTTGTCGAAGCTCCTGATGACGGGCAAGATGATATCGTCTGGAAGACCTTTASACTTACGATATGCCTGCAGATATTAAAAATGGAGAGGCAGACACTAAGCTAGGTTCGTGGACAGACAGACAGACAGACACTAAGCTAGGTTCRTGGACAGACAGACAGTTACACCTAAAGACAGATATACAGACATTTAAAAGCTAGGTTTGCGGACAGACAGACAGACAATTATTCTATAGTCAGTGGGCAGAGACGGACAGTTGTATAGATAGATGTGCACACACTGGGTCGCGTTGGAATTGCAGTGCATTGTGGGGCTGTCCAAGATGGCGTCCATTTCATCCCCTAAAATTGCCCCACAATGCATTGCAATGCCAACCCGACCCAGTTTTTCCTCGACCTCAGAACGGCTAATACCTTGTGTAGATCTCCAAGGGCCACAATTCCWTTCTCCAGCCACTCCCCCACGGGATACTTGTTCGCCATCTGATGCTTAAGCTGCTCGTCTTCTACAACGACACCCTGCTTAGTATCAACAAGAAGCATCTTACCGGGCTGGAGCCGACCCTGGGAACAAACAAATAACATGATTATCATGAGCATGCGCACTACGCGTGGGGCGTGGTCCTCTTGGTCTCCGTCAAGAACCATAAAGCTCTGGGTGAATCCAACTGACAATATTTCCACARGTTGGGCATGTTCACATGCCTGCGGCCATGTTAGATGGTGTTAGATGTATGGTGAATAAAAGACGTCTGTACCCAAGCTAGATCAAGATGAGCGGATGCAAATTTAAACCGTGAAATAAAAACAAACTAAATACTGACAAATAGTAGCTATTTAGTGACTAATAGTCAGTATCACTCAACCAGAACATTTATTAAACAAAAGACACAAGTGGTCTCTTGTGTATTTGTCTTTGTATGATGAATGTTCTGGTTGAGTGATAGCAACTGCTACTCACTAAATAGATACTATCAGTGCATCATCCGCTCTACACCATTTTTCTATAGCCTAATACAACAATGAAAAGGTGCAAAAACAACCACATCGCACACCTGTGACTTGTAAGACTCAATCAGATGCTATATACCTTGAATATGATCTCCTCATCAGCAAAAGTGTGCACTCCCACCTCGCTAGCCATGACCATGTGACCGTCACGTGTGATGTAATACCGCGATGGGCGGAGCCCGTTCCTGTCAAGAGTAGCACCAACATATCGACCATCTGAGAACGTGAACTGAGCTGCAGTAAAGAAAAAAAAATGATGAGTCACCATTACAAAATATGACAAAATGACAAGACTGCAAGCACACACACACACTCAGGAAGGCAAAAGAGAAGTCAGGCGGACGGACAGTTAATATACACTATATAATATGCACCGTTTGCAGAAATAGAGCGACCAATTTGAATAACTATATGAAATATAATAAATAAATCACTTCTATTAAAGTGTCTAGTCGTTCTAGCGCTTTCACACTAATTGGGGACACTTTTCGCTCACACACACTACCACTACATTCAATATTCTATGCACACAACGCTCAACTCACATGTTGACTATTGTTCTGCACTGACTAGCAACTGATTAGCTTCGTGTTAACGTGGAAGCATAGAACAATTTTATACATGTATGAAAGGCAATAAGTCGCTGGTCAGTCCAGAACAATAGTTATTTAAATTAGTCGCCATATTTTGATTCAGTGTATAATGACATAGAGAGTTACATAAATGTCAGAGATTTTCCTCACCAGGCCCATCCCAAGGTTCAACAAAACAGGAAGCCCATTTGTAGAAATTCCTTTTTTCTGCGCTCATCTGTGAGTTATTCTGCCACGCCTCTGGTACAAGCATCATCACAGCCTGGAGTAACGTGTTAAATATTATTAGATAAAGTATCATCAACCCCCCTCCTCTGGTGTTGTACCTATTTATACAACTGGTTGTAAACAGGGTGCAAGAGTCACTGTTAGAGCAAGGGAGCACGATGGACATAAATTTGTTGATTGGTCTTCCTGTGGTATTGACATTTGCTGACAAATACGGTTTTCCGCAAAAAATAGCGTGGGTTCAAGTAAATATCAAAGATGGCACCGTACATGATGTCGGCATATATAAAATTGACGGCCATTTATTTGTATCATCCGCCATATTTATTTACTTAAGAAACTGCGTGCGCGTCCATACAACAGGAAGACCAATAAATTAAATTATGTACCACAGGTAGACCAATCAACAAATTTATTTTTGCCGTGCTCCCTTGGTTAGAGTTCAGGGTTTTGCCTAAGAACACAACACGATCAAAACTACCAATGTGTCTCTTGAGTATTAGTTCTTCTGAGATTAAGGAAAAAACAGGGTCAAATTGAGATGGCAGTGCATTGTGGGACTGTTTTAGGAGACATTTCCAAGATTGTCTATTTCATCCCCTAAAGCAGTCCCAAAATGCAATGCAATCTCGACCCAGTTCAACCTCAGAATGGTTAATTGGTAATACAGTGTTAACTTTATAGTATAAGAGTAATACAAACCTCTGGAAGTGATCTCTGTCCTGCCATGATTAGTAGCTCAAGGATGTTGTCTGCTCTTCCTGAATCTGTTAATTCCTCTTCCACCACAGGAAACAGACTAAAAATATCACAATCGTTAATCATCAGTAGCAATTAATATTATTATTAAACTAACATTCCTCTCGTGTTCTGCCAGTCATAAATATTGTCATTAATTTTTTTAACATCAAATCGGCTGTACCTTTCAGTATGTTTTGCATAATATTCACTGTACATATTGCCTTCCCTTGCACACATGTTGTTCGTATTGCCACAGATGGTGTTGATTTCTCCATTATGTGAAAGATATCTGAAAGACATTAAACTTGGTAAAATATTTTTTGCATTTTTTTGTGGAAGAATCAATCCATTCATCCATCCACAACCATTCATCCATTCTCTTTCCCATCCTTCCTTCCTCTCTTCCTTCCTTCCTTCCTCTCTTCCTTCCTTTATTCCTTCCTTCCTTTCTTCCTCTCTTCCTTCTTTCCTTCATTCATCTCTTTTGCTTGCTTTTCTTGCTTGCTTGCTTCTTACTTTCTTTGTCAGTCTCTTCGTTTCTTTTTATTCTTTTCTTTCCACCATCTTACCTTCCATCCTTCATTTCCTTGTTTTCTTTTGTTTTTCCTTTCTCTCTYTTCCTCCTTCCCACCCCCACTATTTCTGTCATTCCTTTATAATATTAAAATACATCTCTTTAGGCTTTACCTGTTTGGATGTGCTCTCTCCCAGCTTGGAAATGTGTTGGTGGAAAATCTTCCATGCACAATAGCAAAGTGGGACCTAAGCAATACATGGAAAAGTCACTGATTTAAGGATGTAAATTAATGATTCCTGGACTGTTAATTCAGTTAAATAACACCAAACAAAAGAACAACCAACCATGATGGATTTTGTTTAGTGTAACTTAATGGACCCTTCTCAAAAGTATTGTGGATGCAAGGCTTACATGGAAATACAAAAGAAATCACACTTTTTCTCGATRGAATTTGTGGCATTTCTTTCGTATTCCCATGTTAGCCTTGTATTCAAGACAATTTTAAGAGGGTCTATAGATCTAGAGTTAACAGTCCAAGAATGCATTGCTATGACAGTCTAGTGATGCAGTGTACATTAATGGACCAAATCCATTTGGGTGTTGCCCATTTCAGACCATGTGTCATTCCCTTGAGAATAAGATTCTTCTCATGTGCTACCGAAAAGCAAAGAAATGATACTCTTGGTATGACACGTGGTTTGGAATGAGAAAACAGTGAATTAGTGAACTTGAAAAAAGCAACCAATCTTGTCTTCTGCTGTTGGAAACCCTGTGGTTATAGGGCATAGAAACTGGAGAGGTAGGGTACCACACAGGTAGCCCAAGAAATAAAAAAATAGCTATTTATACTTACACATAATCTTCTCTTTTGAGGTCCAGATAGAATTCTGACAGCTGATTTACAGTGAACATACCCTAGAACATGAAGTCAGAGTCTGTGAGCAAGGGGTTAGTCTTTATTTTTCCAGTTGGGGGTGGGGGTGGGAGGTCAATAATTTCAGTGGGGGTGGGGGGGGGGCTGAAATAGAAAGGGTAGTTTTAGAAAATGTTTTGATTCTTACCTTGTAAACCATAACATCTGGGGACAGACTACAGATGTAAAAACGTCTGTTTTTGGTCTTGACAGTGTGAGATGCTACTTTTCTCACCAAAAACAACTTGTGACGAAATGTATTGCTATCATATGAACTCGTGACGAACACCTTGTAAAATTCAAAAATTCATCATCACATCACACTATCATTATCTACAACATCTTTGTCATCATATTTGGGATATAATGTGCTGTAGCCTCCTTTGCAGCCGTTCTTAGGGTCGTCACACGACATTTCCCTCCCTTTGTGGGGAGGATAACGTTGCGTGACGACCCTAAGAATGGCTGCAAAGGAGGCTAAATGTGCTGCTGATTGGCTGGCTACTGTGTTTATATCAGAAGACAGAGACATGGTAACACAACCTTGTTCAAAAATACTTTATTTTGTCAACATATAAGCGAATATATATATATATATATATCTAGCACAGATTTTCATAAGACATTACCTGTTTTATGATGGGCTGACATCCTTTTGAAGTTGTGCCTAGAGAGCTGTCATCAAACGGGATATCACGCCAGCCAAGAACCTAAAACCAGTAGTGAAAAAAGATGTCAGGTCTAGAAAATATTCATAGCTCCCACATTTGGGGGGTGGGCTGTAGTAGTAGAAAGGTCTGAGTTGGGTCAGAGTGGAATGAATGGAATTTCCAAGGGGTGGTGAGGGTCTGAGCCATACCGATCCCCCACAGTGTAGGTTCGAGGAGGGGATACTCTATTCTCTTCAACCAAAGTTTAAATAAATTGTATGATAATGCTTACCTTGATTTTATGCTCATTGCATATTCTCCCAAACTGTTCTTGTCCTTCTGATGCCTATGACACAAGGCAAGGAAGGAAAAGACACAAATATACAAAAATATTTTGGAATTTTCAACACAAGACTCACCCCCTCCCCCATAGATTTTCTGTAATTACCTTCTTTGTGTCTCGATCTAAAAATATTATTCCTGTAGCATAGCAACCAGGTTCAGGAAGTTGAAACTCCAAGTGACTTTCCCTAAAAAAAAAGTAAGATCAAAATATCATTCCTCAGGGGGTAGTGGTGTAATCAAAATATAATTCCCCAGGGGGTAGTGGTGTAACCAAATATCATTCCCCAGGGGTAGTGGTGTGATCAAATATCATTCCCCAGAGGGTAGTGGTGTAACCAAATATCATTCCCCAGGGATAGTGGTGTGATCAAATATTATTCCCATGGGGTTAATAGTGAGGTCAAATATCATTCCCCATGGGGTAGTGGTGAGATCCAATGTCATTCCCAAGGAGGTAGTCGCAAGATGAAATATCATTCCCCAGGGGAGTAGTGTAGTTAAGAACATAGTTACCTTATGAGATTTTGGTACATTTCATGTGGGTGTGCCGTCATGATTCCAGCACCATCACCTGTGTTCTCCTCACACCCACATGCCCCACGATGACTCATTCTTTTCAAGATGATCAAGGAATCTGTGACAATCTGTCAATCAATGTTTTAAGTATTCAATAATACAGGGGCGGTGGAAGCTAAAGATCTTTGGGGGGCACTGCAAAAATCTTTGGGGGGGGGCACTGAAGATGAAGATTATATTTTGATTGCAGACGCATATGCACCGTAAAACAATGACTAAGAACCAATATTTTTGGGGGACCAGGCCCCGCACCTAAAAATTTGGTGGGGGGCACATGCCCCCCTGCCCCACCCGGTTCCGCCGCCCCTGTAATAATAATCACCATCATCACAATAACCATGATCACCATACTCTTATCATCATCATCATCATCATTACCACCATTTATCTTTGTATCCATCATTACCATCATGCATCAGTGTCACCATCAACTTTACTATCATCTTCATCATCATCATCTCCCCATAACCAATCATCATAATCATTACTGCCATCACTAACATATTCAACACTATCACCATCATCACTATGACATCAGATTTAGGACCACCAAAGACACTCTAATATTCTTTATTCTCGATGGTAAAATATCAACACCTCTAGATATTGTCCCCTCTTATATTATTTCAACTTTGGACAAGTCCCTTAATGCATAAATTAATATTGGATCAAAACATGTCTTGGTCCATACAATGCTTGGAAAGCATTTTTAAAAGGAAAATAGTAATTAATTAATTATTTCAAACTTAAATATCGTTTTTCCTTTTACATACGAAAGTGAAGATGAAATTCAGAAAACATATCAAAAACAAATAACTTTTGAAAGGGGGTAAGAGAAAGTGAATTTTTTTTGTAATTTTGGCTTTGTGAACTCACAGGGTAAAATTCAATAATCCAGCAACACAAAAACTACAAAAACAAGATCATTAATATATAATTTGAAAATAAACTTCCAAATTAATTTTGGATCAATATCTTCCGAGCAAAAAAAAGTCCTCGTTTTTTTGTTGAAAGATTTAAAAAAATCCAGCAATGCATTTGCTACAGAAAGAACAAACGATTATGAGCTTTGTGAAGATACTCTGGGGTCGAGTCAAGTGTCGTCTCATAGGTCTTGTTATGGAGCAAAGTTCAAAGTATGTAAATTATTCATGAACAAGGCATCCCATTATGTGTGTGATCTCACACTATAATGGGCGTCCCAAGAGTTGCATAACGACCAAGAAAATTTTTTTTTTGCTGTAGAATACATACAGATCTAAAATAGAAAACTGGGATTTTTGATAAGAAAGGGAAAAAGGACAAATAGTTAAAAGAGACGAAAATGTAGACAGAAAAAGGAAGATTATGATCACAGCATCCCACTCACGCGTAACACGTAAACAATATAAAAATTGTACAATAATAAAATAAGAACACTTGCAGCTCTTCTTGCTTTTCCGAGGAGAAAACGATTTTCGAATTTTAAAGCATATAAAGCTATGAATGTAAAATTATTTGATAAAAAACATTCTGTGATATTAAAACAAGCGACTCCCATGTGATAAAACGGGGGRAAAAATTATGCACACGGAATTCAAGCCGAAACAAGCCAAAAGTCCTTTATTTCTTACCTTGTTCGAGCATTCTCCATTGATCTTTACAATAAAGCCAAGGCCACAAGCATCCTTTTCTAATTCAGGTGAGTAGAGCCCTTGTTTTGGAGGGTAACTACACCCAGAGAGAACCATTTCTCGTACGTTTTCTTCTTCAAAAGACTTCAAATTTTCAGCACCTCACAAACACTCAAACACCAAAAAATGTCTATGTTTTACAAATTCAAATACTTATAAACCTCTTTTGTTGTTATATGTGCTTTTTTTTGGGAGTAAATGGTGAGAAATTTGAATATTTTTCTCCCGCTCTTTGACTTGTTATGTTTCTCGTGCTCACAGTTTACTCACTGATTGAACTCTGGACCCACACGTGCTCTACTCATGGAATAACAAGTATTTTTACTTCCGTTTCGCAAGTATTTTTACTTCCGGCGCGGGAAAATAAGCTTAAATTAAACTTTCCTATAAAATTTAGAGGGAGGAGAGATTTTCTCAGCTTTTGCGTTTAAAATGAGCTTCAACTSAGATATAAATACTAGTCATTATTCTAGATGCCTCTGTTTATTGTTTTTTGTGCCAGCTATGCCTTTTGTAATAAAAGTTAGCTACATTTGTTACTATTTTTTTAAGCAAACCTTTTAAAGTTCATTTTTTTATAACAGTCAATAGAGAAAGGAAGAAAGAGGTAAGACTATTATTAAAGAAAAGTAAGTAACAGTATTTGCGAAACATCGCGAAATTGGGCTTCCTGTGGCAAAACGGTCTAAGGGTCTGGTAAAGAATGGTTTTTATTTAAACGAAGCGCGGGCTTCAACGAACAACAAAAGTAAAACAACTTGAAGAAAAACGCTGCTTTTTCAGTCATTTGAAAACAAAGTTTTCCTTCGAATTACTATCATGAGGCGGGCAACTCTAGGTGCTTTGAATAATGGCAATCAGCCTCGACAGGCTCGTGAGAAAAAGATGTCTTTTGGCGCTGCTTCTGCTCGACCTTCGATCGGAGGAAGACCTTCTACTGGAAGGCCGTCAATGAGCTCAAAAAGGTAATGAATTTGCTCAATTTTTAGATGTTTGTTCTTGATTTGAATGCCAGAATCAATGGAAATTTGTAGTTTAACAATAATCTTTAAGATTATTTGCTAAAGAGCTTTTTCTTTCGGCGTTTTAGTTGATTTGTTGTGTCTGTTGTGTCATGGGGCCCATTGAGCGAAGCTGAACTGCAAAATTTGTCGTATAATATTTATTTTTTACAATGTCTCTCAATATAAAACCTTAATTTTTTGACATATATTATGATTTGTTCATTTGGTATTTTACTAATATTATCCCATGTAAAGCACGTGTTTCTGATCAGCTGAGAAGCTGTTTATCRTGATATCGGCAAAATTTGAACGTTTTTTTGTTCTTGTGGCTTTCCTGCAGGAGTTCAAGTCAGTATGGACGACGGGAGTCCTATGCACACAATCAAGTTATGAAAGATCCAAGGAATTTGTCAGATAAAGGTAGTGCTGTCATCATGAACTACACAATAGACACTCCCCACAGACCCTCCCCTCCCCTTGTAAATTCCAATCCCCCTCTGTGGGGGAAGTATGGATATTTTCTGGTACTACACAATATACCCTCCTCAGACCCTCCCCACCCCTTGGAAATTCCAATCCCCCTCTGTGGGGGAAGTATAGATATTTTCTGGTACTACACAATATACCCTCCTCAGACCCTCCCCACCCCTTGGAAATTCTAATCCCCCTCTGTGGGTGAGGTATGGATATTTTCTGGAACTACACAATATACCCTCCTCAGACCCTCCCCACCCCTTGGAAATTCTAATCCCCTTTCTAAAGACCCTCAGACCCTCCTGACAACTATACCATATCAATCTAAAAAAGTCCCTTTGTGTATATTTTTTTAGGTGTTTATCGTAAGAACATAAAATACTTGATGGAGGTATGTATATTGATATTACAACCCTTTACATATGAAGTGATATTGGTGAATATAGACTCACAGTTAGGTAAATCTTTATTGATAATCACTTCGCCTTAGGAAAATAATTGTTTTCGTATCATTACACAAGTGAATATTTGATAGAAAATAGACAACAATGTTAGTTTTAAAACTGAAAGCAACATGCATCAAGAAACAGCGTGTACGATCCTACATTCACCTGTAGGTAATCATAGAGAAATGGCACAAAATTCTCAACCAATCATGCAGCACATGCRATTTTCTATAATCATCTGGGTAATAATACCAATAAATTTTTTCCCTTGTTTTTCAGTTTTTGACAGAGTCCAACTACCCTAATCCTATATCAGAGAGGATTCTGAGTGCACCTCCTATGAAGGAATTCAAAAGGATATTCATGGTAAGAGGGAAGGGGTTTTTTAGCCATCACACTTTTATCCTTTGACTCTTAAATTCTTAGCCCTCTTGCTAGTCTGCTGTAGTACCAAAATTAGCAGACCTTATTTGTCTGGTGTGACAATGTTTTCCCAATTTTGTGTGACAAACCTCCAGGGGATTCATTTTCTTCTGTTTTTACTCTTCGAAAAATTCATGAGTATCCCAAAGAATAGGAAAGGAATAACTATGATATCCTGACAAGTTTCAAAACAATAGGTGTTCATTCCCCTAGAGGTTTGTCACGTTCAATTGGGAAAACATTGCACACCACAAATAATGTCTATTGTGAAATATTCTATGTTTCTGCCATGATTTCTTGTATTTTGACATAATTTTAATATGTACTTTTTTTTTTTCAATAGTTTATTTACAAGTACATTAATCCAAATGTGAAGGATAATTCTGCTATTGATAAGAAACCAGAAGAGGAAATCCCAAGGATTTTCAAGATGATTGGGTAATTGACTTCCATCTGTATTCTAATTCCATTGTAGAAAAATAATGAAAATAAAAAAATAAAAAATATAGGATTTAACAGTGGCATTTCCACAGAGTGGCTCTTCATCCACTGAAATTCCAATTGGAATTTAGAAGTTTAGTTTTCGTGGAGGGAGGAAAAGCAGAGAACCCAGAAACCCTCAAAGCACAGTTGAGAACCAACAATCAACTACGTAGGACATCCAGCGAACCTGGCAACACTAAGATCTAGGTCACATTGGTGAGAGGCGAGCACTCTCAGTGCTACACCACCTGTGCTTCGACCCCAAAACAGCTCGTGGGGTTACTCATACACTGTACATGTCACCTATGTTACACATCTTAAAGTTATATTTATTATAACTTATTTATTTATTAATATCTTTTTCAGATATCCTTTTACTATTTCCAAGAGTTCTATGTTTTCTGTTGGTAGCCCTCACACTTGGCCAAATCTGCTCGGAGCCTTGTGCTGGCTAATTGAACTGACCAGGGTAGGAACTTGTTACACTAAACAACTCCTAAACAGTTAATTGGAGTAATAATAGTAATAGTTAATAAGAGTAAATTGGAGGGCAGCATTGAAAATATTTTCTGGCATCATTTGTTTTCTTATTTGCAGTTTTCACTCAACATTGCTGAGGACATTGAAGGAAAGGTCATGTTTCCTGATGATACGTGTGGTACTGGTGCTGAGGGACAAGATGGCTTCGGATATGTTGATAGGGTAACACTAAAGCGACCTTCCTGATAACTTTGAGATATCATTTTTATTTTAAGAACCTCTAATGAGAAACCACTCTTTTACGGCTTTTACCTTGTTCTAGTATTCTGAATTTTTCCTGAATACCTATACTGACAATCTGAAATTAAGGAGATTTCCCTGAGCACGTAATTTGGAATTAAGGATTTTTCCTTAAGAAAACAAACTTGGATAAAGGATGTTTTCCCAGAAATATAATTTGGAATTGGGATTCAAAACAATATTGCTTTTGATCCTCGTTGATATTTTTCCATTTTAGCTTTACTTTGAGTATCTAGAAGAGGCATATGCTGCATTCATGAGAGGAAAAGAGTTGGATGAACTACAAGATTATGAAAATAAATTCCTTGAAACAATTAGTAAGTCACTTTCAATACTAATGCTTTTCTTTTATAATTTCTAGAACTAAATCTTTTCTAAAATTCTTTTACGACAGGAATGAAAAATGCTACAGCTTATCAAGGTAGGTTTAAAAAAAACTCCAGTTTCAAGTTTTCTGTTGCTTCAGATTATATATATAACAGTGATTGTAATGCCGATATTGTGCATTCTTTAATTTATTGTTGGTATTTGTGAATATTTTGACACTGCAATGAGGCTAACCCTGACTAAAAAGGTCTAGAGTATAGAATGTACTTAAAATACCTGTTTAAAATTTTTTTTTCTTTTTAGAAATTGAACAGCTTGAAGAGGAGACAGCGGAACTTGAAAAGGAACTGGCAGTACTAGAGGGACCGGTAAGTGATAATAATTAATAATAATTATTAGATACAAATAATATTATCTTCTGAGTCAGACAGAGATAGATCATTGGGAATCATCCTGAGTGGCATAGCGGCAGTCTACTCACCTCTGGGGGTTTCTGGTTGATTCCCAGACTTTGCATAAGCGTATTTCTTACCCGATTCTCATTCATCCTAATTTCATTTTAAATTTTTTTCAGTCAAAACTTGAGTCGCTTGTGCAACAACAAAAGAGCCTTGAAGCAGACAAGTAAATAATAATATGCTGTTTTCTATCCAGACAACAATAGAGACCTTACGTATCAACAAACATTAAGGACCATTTTTCATGTGTGCACTGTTGTTGACTCTGCATTGCTGTCTAGTGAGGATAGTAGTGGTGAGATCAATGGTGTCCACATGAAAAACCATTTTGTAAACATGCTTGTGTCATCTGTGTTCTTGAAGCTTGTCAAAGTGTAAGGTCTCTAAAGATGAATACCTTTATTTCTGATCAATAGAGTAGCTTCATTATTATTATATTATCCCCTGCCCCTCCATAACCCTTGCCCCTCCCTACCCCCTGCTCCCCTACCCCTCCATACCTCCTCCTCTCCTGCTTCCATAGCCAAAGCAAATACCCTACTCACACAAATAATTAAGCAATTAAAAGTGAAGGGGGTCATAAGCATCCTAGATCCCCTCCCTTCCCTAAACACACATGCATGTTACCAATACTGGTAACTTGTCAATGGAAACAGGGTCACAGACAGCCTAGGCCTACCCCCTGGAAAACCGGTTATGCTTGTCATGTCTCAGAATAATAGTTTTTTTAATCGTTGCTTTCTCTTTTAGGGAAATGTTCAAGAAGTATATTTCTGATTTGAAAAGACATTCCAAGAAAATGGAAGAGAGTAATGCACAGCTGGACGAGGAAATACATGCCATAAGTAAATACTTATCTTAGGAACATTTAACATTAATTAGATGTAGTATAGAATAGGTACTGCACAATATATCTCTCAGACCCTTCTCCCCCCCCCCCCCCCCCCCCCCCCCCTCCCTGGGTGGGGGAGGTATGGATATTTCATGGAACCACACAANAATAGGTACTGCACAATATATCTCTCAGACCCTTCCCTCTCCCCCCCCCCCCCCCCCAAATCTCCCTCTGTGGGGGAGGTATGGATATTTCATGGAACCACACAATATACCCTCCTCAGACCCTCCCCTCCCCTTGGAAATTCCAACCCCGCCTTCTCTGTTAGGGGCTATGATTATCTACAATTAGACTGCACGCTTTACTTCATTATTATTTGCATTTCTACTTTTAGGGATGGAGCTTGAAGCAGTGACTAAAGAAAATGCCCAACTCCAGGTACAAAATGATCCTCTCCGTGGCACTATGCACTGTAGAGGATTTGCACAATCACATGATGGCAGCCAGGACAAGAGGCAGGAACAATTGAATCTGGTCTAGTCTGAATTACACTAGAAAGAATTCAGTTTCCCACAGGGAAAAGACTCTATTGTTGTGCCTCCTGTCATGGCTGCCATCACGTGATGGTACAAAACCTCTATAGTATCAAAACTTAATGAACCTCCTGACACCTACTTCACCTTTGATTCCCGTTTATTGATTGATTTATACTCTCTATTTAAAGAATGTTCTAAATAATCAAGAGATGAGCCCTGCAGATGTTCTGAGAATCAAGAAAGAGAAACAAGAACTAATGAAACAGTTACAGCAATTGGAGAAACACAGAGACCAGCTGGACCAGCAAATATGGGATCAGGAGATGCAGTATGCTAAAATACATGAAGAGGTAATAATAATAATGATGATATAATGAGTATGAAGTATATGACTGTGCGATACAGTCTGTGTTTCTTAATGACCTTGCAAATATGGGATCAGGAGATGCAGTATGCTAAAATACATGAAGAGGTAATAATAATGATGATTATATAATAATGAGTATGTAGAATGTGACTGTACGATACAGTCTGTGTTTCTTAATGACCTTGCTCACCATTCAAGTTCCCAGCTGCTCATTGGTTAGAGGGTCCGACTAGAACATGGAAAATAAATAAATTTGTCATATGACCCATATCTGCCCTCTGCTCTTGGTCTGTATGGCATCACCTTGAGCCAAATATTTCCCCGTACGGCCCTCCCACTCAGTCAATAAGTACATAAAATGATAATATGATTTTAAAAACATAAAACAAAATTATAGGTAAATATGTCAGTGACATTTGTGATTTCTTTTTCAGACCGAGAAAAACATCCGAGAATACAATGAAACAGCGCGAAAGTTGAAATTGATACCGACAACTGCAGAGAATGCACATGGATTTGATTTTGAATTGCATTTCGACCCACAACAGACTTATTCCAGCATACAGTCCTACTTCAAAGATAAATTAAAGGTACTTGCAAAATGCCTGTCAATATTTTTTCATGTCGTATTAGTATGTCAAGGTGTGAGGCTATTAAAAACTTCATTCATTTTCTATTTTTGTTTTAATAGCCAGCATTAATTGAACTTCAAGCACAGCTTAGTGACAGAACTCGTCAACTGCAAACCCAGATCATGACAGAAGACGAAGCACTAGATCAGGTATCAAGCTTTGAATCTATTTTATTTTATCTTAATTATTGACACTAACTTGTGTTGTTTGGTACATGTAGGTGTCAGATATGATCAATGAACGACAGGAAGAGTTGGATGCATTAGAAGCTAGGCAAGCTGCATTTGATAAAGAATTCGAGAGGAAAAAAGAGGTACRACCTCCCCTCCCTATATCCCAGGGCCTAGTTGTATGGAGGTTGGATGGTGCTATCCGATGGATAACTCATTATCCAGAGAATAAGTCAATACTGCTATCCAATAAATTTATCCACTGGATAAGATTTATCTGTTGGATAGCACTATCCACCCTTCGTACAACCGGGCCCAGGACAATAAGCCTGAAGCGAGATGACGTTTTACCCCCGTCTCTAGACCATAATCCTTTTGTTTTTTAATTATGACTATTGTTCCTGTATTCTCTAAGGAATCATAAATTTTAATATGAACGAATTTTAAAAACTATTATCATGGTAATGTATATAGAGTTGGGGGTAAAGCGTCATCTCGCTTCAGGCTTGTTCTGTATCTGATTTACAAACTTCTTAGTTATTAATTACTCATAGGTGGGTAATTGAATTTACAAAATATTTGCTTTTCTAGGTTATGGCTAATGATTATCAACAGCTTGCTCAAGAGGTTGACGAACGAGAGAAAAAATTGCTTGAGATGAAGCAAATCAGTCAGGAAACTTTGGAGAAAAAGAATACAGAGCTTAGAAACCTTGAGGAAAAGTGAGTTATAAAAAATGAAAGCTTCTCTCAAAAATCAACTATTCTATTTTAAAAAGATATAACTAGCTAAAAACTAGTGTGAGCTGCGTCGGTGTTTCTAATGAAACAGTAATGATG